ATCAACCTCATCATCATCATCATCACTTTTAAATTCGCCTGCGGCAATGGGCTGGCTAGAACTTACTTTTAACAGTGCACCCCTCCATAGACGGAAAGCGAGAACCATGATGCAGTTCGCAACTACCATTTCTATTTTCTCACCGCACGACCCCCCCCCCCCCCCANNTAGGCCATATCATAGACCCAACCCCAGACCCTTACGCGAAAACCCGCACTAGACGTGCTGGAAACCCAACCGGACGACTTGTTCTAGACCATCCTAGGACCCATACCATCACCGACGACAAAGAACCACCAGGGCAAAGAACGGGGGAAGCAATTAAGGACAGCAAAAAACGAAATACTACCAACACCTACTCTATAGATGAACTGTTTTGTAAGCTTAAGTTAGACAAAGACAGTGCCAATAAAACCGCCTTCAAGGACGCAACTTGACTTTCCTGGTACTGTTCCTGTTTCGCTCCCGCGTGGTCTAGCCCTCGTTCCCGTTACAACCCCCAGAAATGGTTTCCGTTACTCCCCAAACGGGTTCCTGTTACTCCCCGCACCCGTTTCCAGAAGTGTATTTTATGCTATCCGGCAAGCATAAGGATAGGATGATTATTGAAATTCCTATTATAGATAAATATTTTTAGAATAGACCATTTCCATTTTCAAGGGTTAGGGATTTCGGGTTGGGGATTGTGGTTTTTCTATGGGGGTATTGGTATATGGGTTTGAGTTTACTATTTGTCTATGGGGTTGGGCATAGTTCCATAGTATGGTTTTTATCATATGGGGCTTACTATGGGTATGTTTATTGAGTTAGGGGTTGAGGTATAGGTTGTGGGGGTGGTGCATGATTAGAAAATGGACACGATCACTAGTAACTGACTCACGGTCGGACCATCCACAAGGTCAGCAAGCACTTCCCGACAGCTTCTGCTGAGCTCCGAGGCATCGCCAGGCCATGCGAGCTGATTCTAGTCCCCCCGTTTATCGTCACTGGCGTTGTCATAACTGCTACGCTATCCTCTGCTCTGGGTGTACTCTGTGAGGCGATCCCCAGAAACTATATCGCTGCATAAGTGGTGAGATGGGTGCCTGCAAGGCTTTGTCTTCTTGCTTGATCTGTCGCTGAAAATGCCCGAAAGCGTCAAGCTCAGCGATTCCACACAGGCAGCTTGCCGCTGCTGGGCATCCTGTGACTTACGAGCCACCTGGCCCTGTGTTGCTGGAGAGGAGCAAGTGAATATTTTTGCGGACAGCGAATGCTCATGTTTATGTCAATTAGAGTGAATTTCGGAACGCAGTGGGTGAGCTTACTACGAGGAGGCCACCCAGCAGTGCTCCTATCATTCCCTAAGCGCCCATGCCACGCAAGGGAACACTATACGTTGCACCATGTAGTTTGAACATGCATTCTGGGTGTCGGCGTGATGAGGTTTTAGCCTGTTGTCTTGAAAACATGTGCATCAGGCAGCTTGCTGCCGCAATACACTACACATAGCGAAGAAGAACCTAGGGAGAGGCTTCTTTGATGAGAGCTGTTTCAAGGAAGCTCTGACATGGCTTTCAAGGCTCAAGGCAGCAGAGGCTTCTTTGGAAGTTCAAGATTGCTTCTCTGGTGTATGTCGGTGCAAAACTGGCTGGGGAAGGCGAAGCTTCGGCAAGCCGGATGTTCAAGCAGAGTCTGCAAGGTCCTCGTTCTGTTTCTGTACTGATTTCCGATTCGTGCTGCAGGTACCTTGCAGCTTGGCTGTACTTCCACGAGCTTGCGCACACCGACGTGGCCACGGTGGACAAGCGCGAGTGCACTGGCATTGTTGCCCAGGTCGGGGAGGTCGTTTGCGTTCAAGTTGCCGAGTGCTCCAAACCTGAGATCAGAAGTAGCCCTCCACTTGCATTCATCTTGGGACCCATGTCCAAGATCCTCCAGAATGTGTCTTGCGGTTCTGCCAGAGTTTTCTGAGTGTCTGAAGCCCTGAACCTCAATGCGACTTAAGGGATCTTTTCGACAGCACTTGACTGCACTGGTAATTCTAAGGGCTCCTGCAAGGTCATGGAAGGTTACGACTGAGCCTGCCCCTTGATAATCAGTTCTTCCTTGGACTGCCATTGTTTCTGGGATGGTAAACTGCTTTTTTATCCTTGATTCATGCATGCCTGCTAGCAGGCTCGAACTTGTAGTTCCGTCGCGGTGATTACTACAGCTGTTGATCCGAAATTCGTTTCTGTGGCGTGATGTGTGCATTGACTGTCAGCTTGTTTGCTCTCTATGTGTCGTCACGATCATCATCATGTCATTGTTTCTTAGTTCAGGGCTCTCTATTGATCTTCGCGCTTTGCGTTGCAACTGCCAGCTGACTGCGACTCTGCTTTTGCTCTAGATTCTAAACACTGCCTCCGAAATCTCTGTCGCTATCTTGTTCCATCCTCCCTGCGGGAAGCTTGATCTTCGAGCCTTTAGCCTCTGAGCCCTAAATCCAAATCCTAAACCCTAATGTCTTAGGGAATTCGAAGTACCAGTAGCGAGTCTTCGTCAGCCCTCGCAGGCGGCGGACGGCTCTCTGTTCCATGCCGCCAACATGGCAGCTCGACGCAGGGTTTAGGGTTTGGGGACCACCACGTCCCAGACTTCGGATGACAGCTAGCAGCTGGTAGATAGTGTGCCGCGGGCACGACGGACAAGGCCCCATTCTCGTCGGTTTCATGTGCTGTCAATGCAGGACCAGAGCCCATTAGCCGCGCGCAACCTTACTCTGCGCATCCGCGTCCGCGATGCTGCCGGCGACGTCGTCTTTGAAGGCGAGTCCACTTGCTTCGCTCATTTTTCATTACTCAGGTTCATTGCAGTTGGCTAGAGTTGAAAGCTTGCCTTGATCGCGAGTCGAGTGAGAAGTGATGGTTTTAAAGCCTCTTGTGTTTGTCTGGCTGACCCTGCATTGTCAGTGTAGTTGGCAGGAGGATGTCACTGTCTTTCTGGCCGCACGTACGAAACCGGAAGCATTCCTGGGCAATGTTTGCATCGCAGTCAGAATCTCCAGGAGTCGATTGGTACACGCTGCTCTCTACTGGAGTTAGCCGCGCCGTGAAGAAGGGTGCCCTGCCTCGTACATGACATAAGATATAATATGTATGTATGTATGTATGTATGTATGTATGTATGTATGTATGTATGTGTATGTATGCATGTATATGTGTATGCATGCATGCATGGATGGATGGATGGATGGATGTATGTATGCCTGTATGTATGTATGTATGTATGTTTGTATGTAAGCATGCATGTATGTATGTTTGTATGTATGTACATACGTACGTATGCATGCATGTATGTAGAAATGTATGTATATATGTATGTATGTTTTATGTTTTTTTTTGCATGTTTGTATGTTTGTATGTATGTATGTATGTATGTATGTATGTATGTATGTATGTATGTATGTATGTAGTATGTATGTATGCATGTGTACTGTATGTAGATGTAAATAAAGGTATGTACACATGTGTATGTTAATATATACATATATATATATACATAAATACACACATGCCTTCTAGTTTGTTTGCAGAATGCTGATATTCATGTGAACAAGAATAAAATGAATAGCAAGAATCATCATAATAATATGAAAATTTCTCATCATCATGCCCAAAACAGCAGCAACAAGAAGCACCAACAGATAAGCAGCACAAAGCGACAACAACAAGACCGACCAACCAACCAACCAACAAAACCAAGCAACCACCCACCAACCAACGAACCAACCAACCAACCCATCAACCCGTCAACCCATCAACCTACCCACCCACCCACCCACCCAGCGTGCGTGCGTGGGCGCACGCACGCACGCACGGACCCACCAACTCACCAACCAACCAAGCAAACAAGCAGCCAAAGCAGGCAAGCAGGCAAGCAACCAACCAACCAACCAGGCAACCAGGCAACCAGGCAACCTGGCAGGCAAGCACGCAAGCACGCAAGCAAGCCAGCAAGCCAGCCAGCCAGCCAACCAACCAGCCACAACAACAGCAGCAACAACAACAACGACAACAATAAGAATAATAATAACTATGATAATTACAGCTCTTATTATACTATACTAGGTTCTTTCACCATTTCATGATCGCACCTTGGCAAGCTCTGTACTTTCAACTTCGAAAGCGGGGGTGCCCAGGCTGCTGTCGCGGGCCATAAGTCGTTCCCTGGGACGAATTAAACACACAATAGAGCTGCTTCATTATGAATACCAATAAGTTTTTTTTCCTTGCATGCCAGTAGTTGGCTAGTCATTCTCCGTGGATATGCTACTCAAGCTGTTCCAAGCTGAGGCCTTGCGTCCGTGCAGGAGAACTGGCGCACCACCACGAAGAGGACCCTGAAGGAGGTGCTGAGGGACATCGAGCCCCTGAGATGGAAATCCTTGTTTTCGTGGAATGACGTGGAGGGGTGGGGGGGGCGGGGGGTGGAATTTAGATTCCAAAGCCCAAGTCCCAAAACCTCACAAACAAGTTTAGTTTCGCCTGTTAATCGCTTTTTCTGTCATTATTGCAACCATCGGTAATTTTCAATCTGGCTATATTGACTGGCGACATGTCGTAGTCTTCGCATGGCCTGGGCCGAAGGTGTGCAGCTTTCGAGTTTGTAGCCCCCAGCACTTTGATATAATAGAACGGAAGCTAAGCAGCAACTTGATTAGATAGATGGCGATCTATTTCCCCTGCGTTCCCAACCTGCACCAAACATCTTCCAAATCGCACACTGATTTGTTGTGCTCCTCGCTTACCGGGCCCCTGCCTCAGGAACGGAGTCATCTCCCAAATGCTGGTGTTCCGTCGTGCATTTGAGGCAGACTTCTGAGTGGTGCCGGGGTCGACGGCTTGCGCTTCAGCCCGTGTTCCAGTCGTTTGACCGAGACTCCTTGTGACCTTCGTGCCCAGAAGCTCGAGGTCAGAAAACGCCCTGCTCAAGTTTTTGGCTCCAAGAAATCCTTTCATGCAAACATACTGTATGCGCCTTCAGAGGTAAGCTTGAAGTAAAGGCTTCTACCAAGCACCACAACAGGTCAAACCATGGAGGAGGTCAATAGTGGCTGACTAGCCATACCATTGAAATCGCCGTTGATGTCTTTCCTCTCGTTCTCGTAACCTTGAGCAATATTTCATTGTTTGTTAAAGCTGTGTGTCTTACAACCGCGACGACGACTACGCTGCCACTGCCACAGAAACACTGCCACGGCTACGGCCGCTGCCACTGCCACTACTGTTGCTACTGCTAGGATGACAATGATGCGTACCTGTGTTGGCTTCTTCGTTGCTGCTCAGGGGGCTCACCGTGACGAGCTGGCAGGTCGGGCCTGGAACTTCCAGGCGGGGCCCTGGGTTCTGTGGGATTGTCTGTCCGTTTTAGGCCGGGACCCTTCGAGTTGGCGTTGTAGGAACACTGGGCTGACGGAGTTCACGTCTTCCCGTTCGGAGTTTGAGCACTGCCTTAGCCGGATCTGAGGATTTCGTGGCGAATGTCACAAAGACTCCACTCGCTGCCCCGCGACTTGCTTGATGACGGATGCCGGAAAGGGTGTTATTCCAGTCAGAAGGACTTGCAGAATCATTGCAACCGATGTCCAAACTGCAACACATGACGGTCCGTCCCCGGAGAGATTGAGAAAGTGCTCCTGGAGGCCTCTTCCGACGCAGTCCTTGGTAACGGATGGAAGCTTTATTTCAGTCCTTGCCAGCAAGGTTCTACATCGTGGCTGCGGGTGCTAAACCGGGAGAAGGTGTGGCCGTAGCTCGAAACCTTACTGGGGCAGATGGTGCCGACTGGCTGTACGGCCAGGAGGACGACGCTCGGAAATGACCCAAAATTCAAGCCCAAAGAGTTCTTGGTCTGGGCAACTCCGGGTTCCGTTCTTTAGCACAGTGTTTCCCTCGACAACCATGGCTGGTTCTTTGCGGCTGTAGGTGTGGATATGGATTCCAGTACTACTGCTCGTTGTGGAGCTCGTACATTGGCCAACCACGCATTTTGAACCATGTTATCATTTACTGCACGGGAATTAGACGTTTTTGGTATTTCTGACGGAGGAGTGCTTTTATCGGCCACAGCTCTGTGACTGCCCGTATGATGCTTTCCCAGCAAAGCCCACTTCTACACTAGCTTCCCCTGAAAACTTCAACCCAGGATTTCTTTCTATGCCAGTGCAACACCGACAGGTGGCTCGGAGGTTCTAGCTTGGGAATTCGGTGTCGTAGTTCAGCTCTTGCATTCTGAGTGCATGAGTGGTGAAGTTTGTTGGGTCTGGTCTTGCCGCTGCAAGTCCGGAAGCCACTTGTCTCGTCCATTGTGAGAGCACCGTAGCGAGGCTATAGGCAAGCCGCAGAGAGCACCAGGTGGCTTCCGGATGATCCGCAAGATCCGAGACGGACAGCTGCAGAGGCCTGTTGTGCAGACTGAAGGTCGCCAAAATTTGCGGCCGGTGCTGTGCTCCATTGGTTGCTGGAAGAGTCGAAGTGGCCGGGCTTCAGGATCTAAAGCAACTGCTTTTGCCTGCCCTTGCATCACCTTGTAGTCACGGCTGACCGATGAGGATGCAATGCAGCACTGCGTCCCACACTACAGTCCGCCGATCCGACCATCACTGCATCGCTCCAAGCATTAGATGTGTCAGGAGACGGTCTGGAGAAGATGTGGGGGATGGCGGGAATTCCAGCAGCTGCTCTTTTCCGCAGTTGGGAGTTTGCCGGCACACAGTACGTCCGTGAAGTGAACACTTCGAACAGTTCAGCATGTTGCAGGCGCTCCTGCGGCAGATGGGTCGAGAGGAAGCCTCCATGTTGGGCGGGGCTGCTCAGGGTGGGCGAAGAACGTCCGTGAATCTTTGTATGTGTGTAGATGGCATCTGGTTAGGTAGCACTTCATCATCACAGTATGCTGCGCTACTCGTGCACCTATACGCATGTTCTGTGTCTGATGTATGGCCGGTGTTCATGCTCGATTGAGCAGTCTTATATGTATACTTGTGATATTTCCTCCCCATGCAACCATGTATGCTAATGCATGAGTTTTTGACAACCACATAATCTAGTTCACTACACCACGTTCATTGCCATATATACATTGCGCGTACCTGCGTGTCTTCATTTTCAGATATTTTCAGATGTAATTATGCACATGTCAAGCTATGAGCGATTTATGTGTATGCATGCCAACACTTCTTGAACCTGATGAGCCGATATCATGCGCAAGCAGTTGCGTTACTACGTGTGGTTGCATCCTGGTCCCAGAAAGTCAAGCTCAATTGCAATCCCTGTGCAGGATAGCCTCGTGACTGACTCCCTATATGAGTCGAATGCACCGCACACTGACAAAAATGAACACAGCCTGCGAAAAGTCACTTGATCATGCGAGAGTGTCAGACAGTACACGGAAGTTGATTTTCCCATGTTCCCGACGCTGTCAGGTCTTATCGAGGTCTTCATACAGCGCTTCACTAGTATTCTTATTGTTTTGTATCAGCACTTCCTGCACTGCCAGGGTAGAGGCTCCATCGGAACTGTTTGGTAATGCGCGCAGCTTCCTATGCATTCCGAACTGAAAATTACCCCTTCCTAACTGGATTGCATTTGATGGTCCTCATGCCGGCCGGTTAGGTCTCTTTGCTGTCTCTTCTGCCTACCCGGTTCACAACCCGCACACCGCATACACTGCGATGATGTCGGCGAGCACAGGCAGGAGGGTAGTGCTCAGCCTTCGGACTTGGAGTTTAGGGGTTTAGGGCTTAGGGGCACCATTCTATCAACAAGGAAATAATTGGACGTGGGGGTTCGGTCAGTCTGCTGGGTTGTGAGGGAGATGCTCTTGGTGACGAGAGCTTGTCCCACTACTAAGTTTGTTGAAGGCTCACGCAAATAAGAAGTGCGGTGCTTGACAAAGTGTTACATGACATAGGGACATATTCGTTGCGTCAATCCTCTGAACACCACGCCCGTCTTTCGGGATGTTCTCCGCCAGGCGAGTTCCACGCTTACGTCCGGGAGGCAAGCTGTCCGCTCGATCCCTATGCCAGCGCCGTTGTGGACAGGCTGGGGGACCCAGGATGCGGAATAGTCTTCTGTAGAAATATAGCGAGATAGTAGCAACGACGAAAATCGTACAATTAAACACAGCAAGACCGACGCGAAACAAGGGACTTCTTTCAGCAAGAGCGAGAATCATCTTGAATTACTGGTCAACAACGCTGTCGATTAATTAATTGACGAGGCTCTGGCATAAATCACACTTGACACGAATCCTCGATCGGAAAGCCCCATTGGATGGTGCACGCCGCCCAGCCGAGGCGTTACTGCCTGAACAAGAACTCGCAGCCGGGGATTCTGCTCCAGTGAGATGAAGCTCTGAGCAACTTCTTGCGGGGTCAAACCTCGCATCGGTTTATCAGACCTGGAAGAGACATAGCCAGACAGAGGCAGTGCAGGACCCGTGACCGACGACAGGTCCTTAATATGGGCCTTGGCCCTCAGAGCAAAAGTTAGCCTTGACAGTTCCAGTGAATAGTGAAATAGAGAAATACATGGGATTCTGATTCTTTTGCGGCCTTAGATGCTGGATCCGAACAGCACGAAGATCCAAAAATGTTGCTGCCCTGGGATGGCGGAGAGACAGAACGTGCAGCAAGGGTCCGGCGAGAAGACACTTCGTAGTTATCGATTCTCAGCGGCATCTACGGTACCATGATAGTCGAGAGTTCATAAAGCTGACTGGATACTTCGGAGATTCGTGCTGCAGGATCGGGGTGCGGTGTGTTGTCGTGAACACTGCGCTTAAGCCGCACAGAGCCCGTAGCGTCAAGCCCAACACCGTCGAATCCCCTCACTCGAAGTCCTTAGCTTCTGCCACCATGCAGGCCCGAGGATCGTAGACTCAAGCTGAGGCCGCCGCAGGAGGCTGGGTCTCGGTGTGTGGCCTTTGTATGGTCTTTACATGATCTTCTCTGTGTTTCTTCACTGTTGGCGTGCCTGTCGGGCCCGCTTCCTGCAAGCGGCAAACCTAGCCCTCTTACCTCGGACCACGTTCCGATAGCAGCAACTAACACGGGGTGCAATAACAGAACAAGAAGACCGCTGAGCACAGTGGTATCACTGCACTGGGAAGTTGAACACTCGGAGACGGATTCTGGTACTGCCAATTTGCCAGCAGTAGCAGACTGTAGTAGACACCCTCGTGCTTTGTTTGGTGGTTCGCAACGGCTCCGGAGGGGTAAGTGTACGTGAGAGGCCTCTCGGAGCAGCTCGCAAAGGAGTTGTCGGAAAGAGGGGTAGGCAATGTTTTCACACATCACCAGGCACAATCCCATATTGAATGGAGAGAGAGAGACGGGTGCATTAGGGTGCTTTCCGTGTGTCTTTTCTTTCACAGTGGCAGCCAACATGACAAAACAATGGAAGTGAGCGAAACTCTGCACACCGTGCACTTGAACCTTGACTGTTTATCGTTTGCTACTGGTCGGTGGGAACTGTTGGGACCTGGGACATGCGCAGAGTTATTCATAATGGTGTCTCAAGGCAAGAACACAGGGGGACATCACACTGTCGTGATACGGAAGCATCAAAATTATTGTGACTAGGTTGGGTTACAGAAGCATAGAAAAATATGGTGACAGTGATGCAAACCTGTGAAAAAGTTTTCACGATCTCATTAAATCCCCATAAGAATTGGGGGGGGGGGGGGGCCCA